TTTTTGCGGCAGACGTTCGACGCGCGTCTTTCATGCATCTCGCGAGATCTCGCAATTGTACGGAAAATCACCTATTAACGTCACAGACAGTATATATCATTATTATCATCTTCATATACCAGGGAATGTCTTACGTAAGTTTGGTATATTAGCGGTGATATTCGGGTCTAACCTCCCAAATGTCGGATCGCACCAAAATATATATGGTCTTTATTTATAATAGAAGACCATAGGCCCATAAGACTTACATACATTATTTATATTTAAAAATAAAATTACAATTTTCAAACAATTGACAATTCTTGTAGTTCTTTTCGCAATTTCATTGCGTGAAAAGTAAAGGCTTCCAGTCTTTGAAGAAGATCTGTATTTTTTGTAGCCATTAATTTCTAATATTTACTAACTGTTGGCAGGAATATATTTTATTTTTAAATTAACAAAAAAAAAGAACAAATAAGTAAAAAATTATACAATGTTGTTACTGTTACAAAGCAAGCAAATTCGTTCGCTCCTATCTACAAAATAGAGGGCGCTATTGACAATACAGTGTGTCATGTAATGGCCATCGCATTCGGACGAGGCAGAATGTGTTGCTGTGTTTAAAAAAATAAAATACTATGTTAATATACGCCCTCCTCTATCGTGAACAGAGCACGTAATCATTGGGATATAGCTTAACTTTCCGAGCGCCATTTATTCCCCGCCAAAATTGCCTATCGTCAACTTGAATTATTAATAAGTCTATCCTTGGGGGCAGACATCCGGGCATTTTCACAGCCTGGCAACCCTGGCGGTGAAAACAAAGGCCAAAACTCGCAAAAAACGGTACTTTGGGATGATTGTTGAGACTCCCCTGAACAGTGTAACAAGATTAGCCCTACGTGTGTAACATAACATATATAAATTTGGTTGTTTAGGATTACTTCAAAGTTGAGTTTGTGTTGTTTGCTCGAATTTGCGCGTCGTAGCAACGTAGGAACGTCTTGTGACGTAGCTCCGCCCCCGAGGATATGAGAAAATTGATTTAACTTGGTAAATTGTGACAAAATATTTTGCCGTCGTCTCGCGAAATTAGCACACACACACACACACACACACACACACACACACACACACACACACACACACACACACACACACACACACACACACAAGACATTTAGCTACTTCTGAGTTAAAATAAACTGAGCTGTGACGAAAACGGTCGGGAATTTTATTCATTTCGCTACGATTTCCTGAATGTGCATTTGTCAGTTGGCGGAATATAATCGATGTCAGAGGATTTGATCTCTCATTCGAGAGTACGCGACACCGCCACCTAGAGGATGTGTCTCTCTCCGCTCGTTTATGGTCGAGACCCAGATTCGCGCTTCATGTTTTGACATTTTCGTTTTGTTTTAAGCAGATATCACAACCTCATGGCATTAGCAACCATGACCTAGAAATACGTTTTAGAAAATATTAAATTACGTTTTAATCAAACTTGTTTAAATGGTCTACATAATTAAGCTATACAAAACTAATAATAGTCTAAATATAGAATCTTCAAATATACTAATGATGGGATAAGAAAGTTTCACCACAACACTACGATAAGGACTTCCCCGTTCTTGTGAAATTCTTTCGTTTTTATGCAGTTGAATTATTGTATTTAGCTAAATGCTGAAAGTCTCGCGTTTGGGGAGAAATGACACCAACAATAAAAAAACAAACATGATGAATAAAAAGCATTGCTAGTTTATTCATAAACAATTTGAACACTAATTACAAGAGAAGAAACCACACAGGATAAATGCTGGACACTGTTAGCCAATAGACAGGGAGTCGGCAACTATTGTCTCGCTTGCCTATATTCATTTTTAGTTAGATATATATTTAACAAATATATAACATGTGTATAATCAAATGCCATTTTCATGACTGTGAAATATAGCTTTAAAAAGTATTCACCTCGAACGCCTAGCGATAAGTTTCATTGCCTCTAACACTCACCCGATATACTGACCCATATATAGGCCGGCTGGAATCGTCTACCACAAAATGGCGACTCATTTCATCAAAACAATAAGCACAACAATCATAAATCTTGCAAAATATCAACGTTTTCAATGATGACCTTCATAACCGTTATGAAACGGTCAGCAATAAATCAACTTGTCTCAAGACTACACTACTCCTTTAAGTAGCCAGTCTTACCACGTGACATCTCATTTGCGGCTCCCGAACTCTCTCGTAGACTGCTACGTATCCACGTCCAAACATGACTGATACGAATAAGAGGAAGATATACCTCGCCGTGGGGATTACCGCGATTGTTGTATTGGTGATTGCTGTACCAATAACGTATTTTGCGCACCCTGATTACAACGCAGGTCCGGATCCGGTATCAACTTTACCCCCAGACAACACGGCTGATAATTTCAAGTTCAACTGCCTTCCTGGAGATCAGAACCCAACCGTCTCAAAATGTAAAAAGAATGGCTGCGTTTGGAATAACATTACAGTAGTTAATCCGTCGGTGCCTCGCTGTTACTTTCCACAGGGCTATGGGGCTTATCGTATGGTCGGCGAAAAACCCTTCACCTGGGGTTACAGGATCACTCTCGATCGACTGGATAGACCGTCAATTTACGGTAATGACGTCACTCGAGTTACATTGGATGTTCAATATCAGACTCAACATCGTCTACGTTTTAAGGTAAGTTGAACCATAAATATTTTTCTTTAGTTTATGAAGACATACCCGCAAATTTTAAACTGACTATATTTTCTTTTCTTCTGAATTTCAGTTTAAAATGAGTTCCCCCTCATATACTGCACCCGGATTTAAAATGGCCCATCCCTCAGACAAACTCTCGTGTACATAGCAGTCATGTTAAGTATGTTTTCCGTTCTATGGAGCATATATTCGTATGTGAGTTCAGTGGACGCTAAGGGATTGACTTTGCAATTTAACACGGATCTGATGCCCCAACCTGACCTTTTCAACTATATATTAGAAATAACATGTCAATGGTGGTCGCATTGCGACCACATGTCGCTGAAAAATGCGTTGGAATGATTATTAGAAATCCACACCTAAATCATAAGGCTTTGTATCACGGACTTTACTACCAAGCTCGTTCCGTGTGTCTACTTGGTAAATCTGGGATTACTATTTTTTAATATCATTTACGTGTAGGTATCCCACAGGAATAAACAACGAGCATACGACATATACAATTTACATTTGTGTTACACAGGCTTGTGTTGTGGTCGACCTAACGATACACTCACGGGAATATTATTTTTGTTTTGATTGATCTTCAAAATAGGTATAACACACTTCAAACCATACATACGTGAACTAATTCGACGGGGACTGGCATATCCTGGCGCAGTATACCACATATGAGCAAATTGCGCAATCTCACTAATCGATAGATTCTCGATACGACCTCCAATATTGTTACAGTACTTTTATCTAACGAGGAAATGCTAACTCCACTGTGAACGACGTCGCTCTTGGCCTCGGTCCAAGCACACTCTCTGGTCGGTACTAGCCTTTTAGCCTCCCATATTTGTTGAGTTATTGTTCGACGCTGTTGCTAAGTTCTTGAACCAAACTTTACAACAGAGTTGCCGTAATAAAGTATATGACGACGTGACTTCTACGTCGTCTTAAAATAAGTCAGTATATATCATATATACAGTCCTGTGTCATGATCGCTTCTCCGAGTTTTTAGGCACGACCTGCATACCACGTAAACGCAATTTATCAGTTCAGATCAGTTTGGAATAGAAATATCTTTTAGCTTAATTAATGATTTTATTACTGGCACTAAAATAATATAAAAAGCTTATCCGATAAAAGCGATTTATAAAACGCAATAATAGGCAGTGCGGAGTCCTTTATTTCTATCCTAATACCTCACAATGTTGAATATACGTACGTGCCTGAGAGTGAAGAAATCGACTCGGTGGTTAGCGCGTTTCGGTTATTTCAGTCTTACGCTCGTACAACGTTCACGGGCTAACGACATGCGAAAACACGCTGCTATGTAATGTTCTAGATCAAATCATGTTAACCAGGATTTTTAACGTGAAAAAGTCACAGTAGGTTTTTGTTTAAACAAAATTTGAAAAAAATTGCGTTCGACATTGTTAAGTCTTGTTTGCATTCTTGTTTGCATATTCGTGCACGAATCTCTGACTAGTTATCGTCTGATAGCTGGGCAACACGTGGTATCGATCAACCAATGAAAACACGGCATTTCAAAAACAGCGTACGGTATTACAATAATGCAATATTAACAACAAAATAGGTTCATGGTATAAAATGGTGTAAAAGTCTGACAATACTTCTTATAGATAAACTAGTATTTTGAGAATTGAGAAACATACAAAATACGATATCTTACAAATGTATACGTGTTCACTGCAACAGAATGCATTACATTTATGACCTTGCACGATACGTGTGCTATAATAGTAATAGGAAGGACACAATTCATAATATATATATAAATCTTGCTGAATATAAAATAATGTTTCAGGTCAAACACAAGAGTGATCACCATCTCGCAGAAAGTTGTACCCCTTTCGAGACGTCACCTCTCTCAAAAAATCTAGGTCGATCCGTATATGAACTTATAACAATGACGTGTTCTAAGTGAATGTTTAGTACTTGCGTTTATATTTCAGTTCTATGAACTCGGTAGCGACCGGTTTGAAGTACCAGTAGAACTGCCCGACGGTGGTGAAATGGCGACGGACGCATTGTATGACGTCAGTTTTGTGTCAGACCCATTCTCTATGAAAATAACTCGCAAGGACACATCCACGGTGTTGTAAGTCACTTCCGGTTGACATATTTGTTTCTAAATGGAATTGTCACGCTAATATTTCGTAAAAAAATCACAGGGAGCCCAGGAACTATAATCAACTGTACGCAGTCTCTATGAGCGGTGGGGGGGGGGGGGGTATTGTCTGGTATCTTGTGTAAGCAATAGGCAAGGGATGAAGGCTCCAGCGAGCTCATATTTTTTTAAACTGGAAAAAACAGACGAACAGAATGAAATATAAAATCTATAAAAAATACCAGGTTGAAGAATTTAAGTTGCTCTTTCAAATTTTGCCAAAACCTTACCTATATTTTACCGATATCTGCAGTAGAAATCAAGAAAGCTACACAAATTGACTCCATTTATGAATAATTAACGGTTGGCCCGAACGCACGGCATAGTTGGAGGCGTGGCCTATTCAAAATGTGTCAACAACCAATCATAAGACTGGTTACGAACCACACCGAGTTTACGACTCGGTTAGTCTTACCCAAACTGGTCCGTAACCAGTCTTGGGATTGGTTGTTGACAAATTCTGAAGAATGAGATTGATTTGTATTCTTGTTGAAACATTATTCAATTGTAAATATACAGATAGCATTAAAAAAGAAGTGTTTTTACGTTATTGGTATTTTATTAACCAAAATCAGTCTAAACTGATTGTGGCTGTTAATTATAGATGGGACACATCAGTGGGAGGATTCATTTTCGCCGATCAATTTCTGCAAATATCCACCACACTGCCTTCCGACTACGTATATGGATTGGGAGAACATGAACATGCTAGTTTCCGACACGACATGGCGTGGCAAACATGGGGATCCTTCTCCCGTGACCAGGGACCAGCTGTGAGTATACAATATTACCTTCTAAAAAGTCAGACGAACGTTGTCTACGTTAAAATTTTAAATATAGTAACTCTGACCAATTGAACCTCTTCAATCGATCGATCGATTGATTGATCGATTGATTGATTGGCCAGGTATTCAATCAAGTCAGTCAGTTATTTGTGTATATAGTGTATATAGAAACAACATGTATACTGTCGAGAATACAACAGGACTAGTTAATTTATCGCGTGATTTTATAATAAAATTACTCTTAAATTCGTTGTTAATTTACTTTGCAGTATAAAGCTAACTTATACGGAGTTCATCCATTCTACACGTGCCTGGAGAGCGACGCCAACTCTCACGGTGTATTGTTGCTGAACAGTAATGCTATGGGTAGGAAACTTGATATCGATTTTTTTATCAAGTGTTACGGATCGTTTTGTTGAGTGCAATACATTTTTTTTCCAAGAAGTAAACGAGTACTATCTTTAAAATCGCATAATACATTATAATTTTAAGATATTTTATTTTAAACAGATTTTACTTTGCAGCCGACACCGGCTCTTACATACAGGACGATAGGAGGCGTACTTGACTTTTACATGTTTCTGGGTCCCACCCCGGAGATGGTTGTGCAACAGTACACAGAGGTATGATATGCACTAGAAAGGAAAGGACACATACAGCTTCTTGTTAACATCGTTTTAGACAATCATATGTGGACGTGCAGTCACTTTCAAACCACTCACATGTCTATATACATATGTATACATAATAACATGGCTGAATTGTTTCGTCATATTCAGGCGATAGGAAGACCGTACATGCCGCCATATTGGTCGTTGGGATTTCAACTTTGTCGCTATGGTTACGGTAACCTAACAAATGTGCAAGAGGTGGTAGCTGGAATTCGAGAGTACGACATTCCCCACGTAAGCGGAAATACTGTGAAGTACTTTATTTTCACTTGAAATTTGTTTTTCGATATTTTTGCCGGAAAGAGAAATCAGTGAAATAAAATCCAGGGAAAATACAGTTCTTGTCTGATGGTTCACAATTAAACTCATCAAAACAGTGAAAATAAACCTCCCACAAAACAGCAAAAATGCGTTTTTAGCAAACATTATTTCCAGCAAATATAAATTATTTTACAGTATTCAATGTACTATTAGGTTAGACTTTTTTATTCCTTGTTTCTCGAGTTTTTATAAGGCATTTTTTTGAGGAGGGCGGAAAAAAATAAAATTTATTCTTTTTTTTCCATTAGATTTGTGTGATTCTCAAAGAATTGTAAGTGAGATCATTGATCGGAGAGAATAAATGAAATAAAATTTTATTCTATTTATAACCTTGTTTCTCATCTTCGCGAGACTTCAGTACTTTGATCATGATACTCCCACGAAAATGCAACTTGGATTTCTTATGCGGCGGGCGGTGAAAAAATGAAGATAAAAATATAATTTTTTTAGCAATTATTTGCGCTTACAAGTCACCTAAACCAACCACAATATTCTTTTCACGTCTACTTTTGAATAAATTATCATATTATACATGTTTTCAGAAACAGTAATTAACATATTGTTACCTTTATGAATATGTACAATTTTTTGTTTCAAGGATGTGCAATATGGCGATATTGATTATATGACGCGTCAACTTGATTTTACATATGAACACGTGACTCGTTACAAAGGTCTACCAGAATGGGTGGATCAATTAAAAGAAGAAGGGACCCGTTATATCATCATTCTCGTAAGTGGATATTAAAGGGCGGTAGTCGTCGCGCCGCGCATGTGCGACATTTGTGTTGATAAACATTGATTTTCCCACAATCCAATGCGCTCTTCTAGTGGAAATCACAAGTATGACGGAGGTTTGACTTGGGGGCGACTTGAACTAATTACCGCCGGTGACTCATTTGATATCTTCCAATCTTCTAAAAAATACCTAATTAAAGCTTAATTAACGTCTCAGTTGTACTCGTTGATCTGGGCAACAGCCAAACTCGCCATCTTTGTTTATATGAGACTCATATATCTCGAGCATGATGCGTGGCGCGACTACTAAGCTGTTGTGTTTCGTGTTTATGCAGAGAAGCACTCGTGTTGTATTTTATGTTTGTCGTGCATACATCACAACGTGTTAATGACATTATGATACATACAATAAAAAATCGAGAAACAAGAGTTCGAAATGTCATGGAAAACGTTTTAAAAATGCAATGTTTTTACGCTTGTTTCTATAGTGAAATTACTAGTATTTCTTCATATCTCGAACTTTTTCTCGCTATTACGGGATACAAAAATTATATTATTCTTAATTAGAATCTTCATATTCTTAAAATATTTCAAAAAACAACATTTCATTCTTTTAATGAATTTCCAATGTGGTAATAGTTTTTCATTATATAAGATTTTTTTCACATAATGCATTGCATATATTGGCAGTGACATGTAGAGTAAAAAAATGAATTCGACTGAGACCGGAGTTACGTGTACTCGGAGATATATAATGACAAAATGGTATGGTCTACTACAGTGAACAAATAGTGTGCTACACGTATGTGCCGCAGTTCCCCCTAAAAATACTAAATCGTATGTAGTATGCAAACCACGCCTAAATTAAACACGGAAAATATGATTTGCTAGATTTTTTGTTTTCAAATCGTAGTTTGTTTGTTTTTTTGTTTTGGATTTATAATGTTCACACTAGATGGTATAAGGTTCGGTTCAGTTATTATTTTTAAAATAAAAATATTACTTAAATTAAATTAAAAAAACTGAAAATAATTTCAGTTAGTAATAAACATATGAATTAGTAAATGTTCCAACCAATCAATCAAATCGTGTATATTAATCTATTACCAACCATACTTGTTTTATTTGATTCACATTAGGTGTTACAAAATCGGGGGGCATGGCGGAAAAGTGTGCAACATTTTTTTATCATTTAGTTTTGTGATAAAGTTATGACGAATTTGCTGTAATTTTTTTTTTTTCATCATATGGGATATCTGTAACCTAAAATGTGGGCCTGTAGTATTTTCGTCCTTTGTTTCCATGATTTTTTTTTTTTTTTTTCAATTCTGCCATCGCTCTTGCCCTGAAGTTTCTAATGATCAGCTCTTTACACCCAACATAACACCGTGCAGGAATCTAATGTTGACAACGTTGTACATAGATGTGCATTTGTTTTATCAGATATCGTCATCGATACGTGCCGCGCAAGTAATTAAAATCATGGCGTTTCTTGTTTGTCTCATTGCCAAGTTTCTGTCTAATTTGTTTACGATCATTGCCAGTAAAAAAGTGATAACAAAAAAGTTTTTTTTTTTTGTTAGGACCCAGCGATCAGTGCAGAAGAGGTATCCGGTACGTATCCACCCTACGATATTGGTACTAATTTGGGGGTTTTCATAACAGAAGAAGATGGAAAGACGGAACTGAAAGGAAAGGTAAGAAACAAATTCATGTTTGAATTATTTTTTTTCTTAGCACATGCGTAATCATGCTATTTTTTTTTTGTATTAATACGGTATGATTAGGAACTCAACAATATTAACTAAATGAACTTTTAATATTGCGTATTGAAGCGGATTCTGGGAGTTGTGTCATTGCTACTTGAACGCCTTTTGCTCTCGCGCTAATTAATATTCCTGCGATAGGTGATGTGATGACAATGTCCCATGCGCATGCGCTGTAGATCACCGGTATGCAGAGGCCAAATGGCCGACTTGATAATAATGTGGGAAAAAATACGAAGGTGGTTCTTCCATAAAATGACAGTAACACCATAAGTAGTTCATTGTTACCACACAGTCCTGTTTCATTAAGCAGCTAATTAAATCATCTACTTAGAAAAAATTGGTATTGTGCATACGGTGATCTGACATCTTGCTCGCTCATTCAGGTTTGGCCGGATCCACCAAATATAGAGAACATTATGAAGGAGATCGACTGTAGCAAGACAGGAGATTCATGGGGCTGCTCAGTTGAGGTAAAGTTGACTACTTTTGTATTCGTCATACGCCACAATACATGTTAGTCCATTGTTTACAGGATATATTAAAGTGGGGGAGTCGTCACCCGCGCATGCGTCAGATGGCCAAGCGTGTCATTGTTTACAAACAAGCGTCTACCCATTTTGCCTTTGCGTTTTTAGAGTGTGTTGATATCGTCGCTTGGTACTCAATCCCCGCAGGCGACGACCCTCACTTTAATATATGATAGATCACATAGGATATAGCATATGATGAAATACTCTCATTACTACAGAATTATCGAGCCGAGGCCGTCTTCCCTGACTTTTTGAACCCAGATGCACGTAACTGGTGGTATAATTTAACAAAGGACTTCCATGACGTCATAGCTTACGATGGTATTTGGATTGTAAGTAAATTCTATTCTAGTAGTATTAGTAAGATAAAGTATCGCAACTCTAAGTTACACAGTTCCGTATTACCTGCCAAGTGAATTCTATCAGGATTGTAAGCTCACTTGATTGTGTAACCTGATTGTGTAAGTTTCACAATTTGATAATATTCAAATTACGATTCATTTTATTTTTATTTTAATTTACATTTGTGTGTTACGTAATCTCATATTGTTTCACTTACGTTATATTATCAGTATCATAACTTGTAATACGTAAATCATGATAGCAACCTTAAGATACATATCAGTTACAAATTACGTAGCTGCATAGTATTTCTCCTGGGATACGTTATCGCGATACCAAGTTACGTGTACCATAATATTTTAAGCGCGGTAGTCGTCGCACTGCGCATGTGCCACATTTGTGTTGATAACATTGAGTTTCCCACAATCCACGCGCTCTTCAAATGGAAATCACAAGTATGAGGTTTGACCTAGGCGCGACTGCACT